GGACATAATTATAAAGCCACTTTAAGAATCGCCGTAATTTTCGTTCTTGTCAATGAATCTGTCCGAAACTTTGCTTATTGTGCGCATGTCAACCTACCATGACCACTCAGAACGGCTTCCAATCTTGTTGAGTTTGAACGGAGAAAAACGAAAAAATTCGAAAAAGCCCTCTTTGAGCAAAACAAAATTATAAAGCCACCTGGTTATCTAATCACTGTCGCTCTCGTTGACTCTCAAATTTTTTTGCACAATTACATCCCAAAATATGAAACATTTGCAACACCTACGGCCTGTCATCCTACTCAAATAGAAGCGATCACTGCATTTTTTGCTTTCAAAAACACCAAAAGTCAATCTGTTTCAACAAACAACTGGTTTGAAGAGTTTTCAAGCTCTTGTTCATTTCAAATGATAATCATGGAATCTACTGACCTTTCCGGGTAGATGAGGTGAAGACCGCTTTCGTAAATTTTGCGTAATCGCTAATTTTGACGGACAGACTCCAGCATCACCATAGGGTTGACGCACTTTTGCACCACAAAACTCAGTTTGCAATGTCCACAAGGTGCTGAACTTGATTTACTACATTGCCTACATGGGGAGGCAGCTTTCCCAACAACTTTCAGATTTCCCCTAATGATGCGGTATAGCGATTCAGACCTGAAATACTTCCCACAGAATTTCCCTGCGAACAGAAGATTCGATATAACCCCAAATCAATTTACTGCTAAACAGGGCGTTTGAGCAGGCAGTTCTCAAAGTCTCAATGTTTCAGGAAGTCCTGATGAAGGCGGACGGACCGCCGACGTTGGCTTATCGCGCAATAAAGTTACTATCAACCTTGGTCAACAACTTAATAACTGTATCACAATTGAATGACAAGGCCAAGGTGTATCAACAATCGAGCACAAAATATCTCTTTTCTTGTTTAATTGTGATTCCGTCTTTGATACTCTTCACACTGCCCCGAAGATTTTCGGCAAGAATGCTCCTGCTATCTTTCGTCTAACCTGTCCGATAGTGTCGAAAATGTCTAGAATTCCGCATTCACCAACGTCCACAGCAGAGAAAATCTGTAAGCTTTGAAAGTAGTGTAAAGTCAGCAAATCTAAGGAGTCAAATCGTGAACTAAATCATGTCTTGCTTGATCAACGTACCACTACGATGGTAAGTAACAAAAAGGTAAGGTTGAAAATTCTCATTCTTGTCGAACTGACGTGAACTACCTGGAAAAAATATTTTGAGAAGGTGCGGTACATAGTGCATTTGATAAAACGACGAACAGACGAGACTTCGGCAAAACTGACAGAGAAATAAATGGGGTAGTATGGGAGACTATATGTCGCCGGAAATGGGAGTGTAATTGGGTTGTTTTTGAGCCACAGCAGACCTTAGCAATGGTCAATTTTTTCTAAACATGCTTATGCACAAAAGAAGGAATTTAACGAAATGGAAAAGAGGATGATCAGATAGCAATCGTAAGTTGGGAAGTTTTTAAAATTGCCATAATCTTTTCAATCAAGATTCCTCTATCAAAAGGGTTGGTTGAAAGCAGTACACAGAAGTTTTGCCTTGATCCAAACCCATCCCCTTATCCGCGAGGTGGGATTATAGAAGAATTATAAGCGTTCGAAGGTCCAAATCTTGCAAACATTTTGCGCCACATTTACGAGAACTAGCTGTTTAAAAACACCTGCTGTGTCTCCGGTAAATGTGAGCACCCCTTGAAACCTGTACACTAATTATCTTGCTAGTCATGCACTCCTAAGTAAGATCTTATAGCACATTATGGATTAGAGCTCCAGTAATTTCATAGATTGAATATTATCTATCAATCTCCAACTAGCTGTTCGGGCCATTATTAACGATCGCCCGAACAGGAGAGAATCCCAATCCCGTGTCATCAAACTTCAGAGTGTCCGATCTGGCAAGTTTGGCCATGTCGAGCAGCAGAGCCCGATCTCAACAGGTCCTGCTCCGCTGCCCGGCTGCTGTGCCCGAAATGGCCAAACTTGTCAGATCGGACCATAATCACCAATAGAGAAGCCCGACCACCAGCTCGGCTTGGTGTATCGCGGGTGAAACAGCCCGTACAAACGCAGGCGCCAGTGCCCGCGTTTGTACGGCTGTTACCTGTACAAGAATTCCATTCCTAAATAGGGGATTGATAAACGCGATGATCTAGAAGATGTACATGCGAGAAGATTTGTTTCGGAAAGGGTTAGACAATTTTTAAACATTTACGAATTTTTTTAAAAGAAGAAATTCGTAATTTCTGTAGATGAACAGCAACGTCAGCAAGAAAAATGTTTCAAAACCAACTTGTCCTCAGCTTTTAGAGAACATATAGTTTGCTTGAAGTTGTTGAAAAAGTGCCTGGTGAAGAGTGTGGGTAGTGATTTCTGGATATTTGCGAGTTTTTAACGTAAAAAAATTATTGAATTTTATAGATGAACATCTTGTACGCCGGATGGCCACCATTGGAATCTTCTCGTCCTCGTTCTCCGCTTTCAGAAGATATATACTTTGCTTGGGGTCCGTTAGAAAAAGTGCCGGGTGAAGGGTGGGTGAGATTTTTATAATGGGAGTGCTCAAGTAGAGGCTTTTTTACCATTGTGGAAAGACGTCTACTTGAGCACCCCCATTATAAAAGTCTCACCCACCCTTCACCCGGCACTTTTTCTAACGGACCCCAGACAAAGTATACATTTTCTGAAAACAGAGGACGAGACGGTTCCAATGGTGACCATCCGGCATACAAGATGTTCATCTACAAAAGTTATGAATTTATTTATGTTAAAAACTCGAAAATCTCCAGAAATCACCAACACACCCTTCACCAGGCACTTTTTCAACAGACTCCAGACAAACTATATAATCTCTGAAAGCGGAAGACAAGATGGTTTTGAAGACAGCTTTCTTGCTGACGTTGCTGTTCATCTACAGCAGTTATAAATTTTTTTTCTAGAAAATTCGTAAATGCTTAAAAATTGTCTAGCACTTTCCGAAACAGATCTTCTCGCATGCACATCTTCTATGGTAATTTCAAACACAGGCAGAGTGATGTAAAAAAAGAAGTGTAAACAACATTAGGTTGGCACATAAGTTTTATGACTTTTCCCGTAACTTTTCTCTTATTCTATGTGGCAATCTCATTTTGTGGCACCATGTAGACCGTGATGTAAGCTGCAACTCTGCGCAAATCCGTTTAATTTTTGATAGCGTAGTACAAAAAAAATCAAAGGATTTTTTGAAAACTGCTGAAAATCGAGGTTTCACGGTTTTTTGGCAAACATGAAGCCCTACGAAACCTGTATTGAACATATCAAAAAGCAAACATAAACAGCATGTAGTTAGAAGTGGACGCATTGGAATCAGTAAAAAAAAATTTTGAAGGCAATTTGTCAAAAACTAAGCTGCGAAAAGTCCGAATTTGCTATAACTTTGCACTGTAGGGTAATCTTATACTGTGAACACGAATATCATATTCATTTGTCGCTAAAATGGAATTCATTTTTTGATCTCATGAACCAGGCCTTTTCATGCAAAACGGATCTCATTTTTGTGATCCGCATGTCGAATAAGTCCTATAGGTCAAGTTTCAGCAGAATATGATGCATTCTAAAAAAATTTCCATAGTACCGTAAACCTAGCGTAATCCTTACATGAGATGGTAAAATTCGCCAAAAAGTGTGCATTAAAAGCTTACACCATAGTCCTTATACTGCCAAAAAATGAATGCGCTACATTCAAAGAGACAGAAGTTATATAAAAAGTTGCATTACTTATGTGCCAACCTAATACAAGGTGCTGGTCAGAAATATAATTGTGTGCTAATCCAGCAGCACATCGGTTCACATTTCAGAAAAAAGACAGTAAGTGACTTCAAGGGAATGAAAATTATAAACTTTGATTAGAAAAAAGATGAGAGAACACCATGGCTCTCCTCCCTCTCCCCCCCCCCCGTCGACATTTTATAACTTCTCTACCAAGTGAAACAACCTTCACCCTGGAGGATTCATTCTCACCTTATCGCACCTATGCGCCCAGACTGCGTATTCTAACGGCAATCCCGTAAAAAGTGCACCAGTGCCTATAGACAAGAAAGCAGATCGATCGACATGAACCAGACAAAAATTCCGTTCTGTGTTCCATATCTGATGATTTTAGCAGTTTGTTTCAAGTGGGCCTCGATGATTGCGTCACAGTTATAGATATCCCCACTCCTAATCTCGAAAACAACTACGTTGCAATTGAGCGTATGACAGAATGTGCACGACCGCCGATTGTAGCATCTGAGCTCTTTAAAATCAGGCGACTGCATGAAATTGGGGTAATATTTCATGACCTGTCAAAAATGCGGGGACCATTAATAAGAAAGATCGGCAGACCCTCGTGCACAAGAATCAAAACATCTTGATGCCTCAGAAAATCCAAAATGTCCACACCTTTGGGTGCACATCGAAAGTTATGTCGTGAGAACAGTACTTTCAAGTCACTGTTACGATCTTGTCGCACGAATCGGAGTTAATGGCCCGCAAAACATTGGAGGTCTTTTGGATAGCGTCTAAACCACCAAAAATGAACCGCAAAGATGAAGGCATTACTATAAACATCGAACTGTTTTCCTATAAAACACTGTGTGGATTCTAATACGAGATCTTACATAACCATATGAGGGCATTGTTGATAGTGACTATCAACTCACTCATAGTGCAGCAGCAGCGCAGTACTGGTTGTTCGTTCTCTACATTCCGATTTGAAAAGGCTGAATCAGGCTTACACATCTATTCGCTGCTCTATCAGAATAGCTAGACTGAATTTACTGCCGAACAGAGCGTTTGAGCAGGCAGTTCTCAAAGTCTCAATCTTTCAGGAAGTCCTGATGAAGGCCGGCGGACCGCCAGCGTTGGCTTGTCGCGCAATAAAGTCTTGCTATCAACCTTGATCAACAACTTAATGACTGTCTTACAATTGAATCACAATGCCAGAGTTTATCGACAATCGATCACAAAATATCACTCTCCTTTGATTGCTCTCCGTCTGCGACCGTGCCTTATCGACAGGAGATAGCGACCTTTATCTGTTATTTCTTTACTTCCTTTGATTATTTTTTTGAAAACTCCTTTTATTTTTTCTCCAATTGGTTTGAATAAAAGGCCAAAAATATCTCCAAAAAGCCCGCATTCACCAACGTCCACGGCAGAGAGAATCTGTAAGCATTAAAAGTAATGTAAAGTCAGCAAGTCTAAGGAGTCAAATCGTAAACTATATCATGTCTTGCTTGGTCAACGTACCACTAAGATGGTAAGTAAGAAGAAGGTAAGTCTGAAAATTCTCATTCTTGTCGAACTGACGTAAAGTCTCTGGAAAAAAAGTATTAGGAGAAAGCAAGCGGTACATCGAGCGTTTGATAAAACGACGAACAAACGAATTTCTTTGACATAAAACAGAGAAACAAATGGGGTATGGAACTATATGTCGCCGGAAATGGGAGGTTTAGTTGGACATCTGCCACAAATACACCTTTTAGTACATGCACAGGCTGATATCTGCTGCATCCTCGAAACCCTCCCACTTTCAGCGACATGCAGTCCTCTACTAACAAACGATCTTCTGAGTACAAGGGAAAACACAAGCTTACAATAATCTTGATTTCTCTGCTATGTAATTCCTAAGCATTTGTAAGAGACAGTGTCGCAGATAAGTCAAAAATAAAACATCATAAAGTCGTGCACAATATGCACAACTCTGTCATCAACTATTTCACCTGCTCAACTGTACTTTTTTCAAAAAAAATATCGGTAATTGCCTTTTCAGAAAAGGAGCAAATAAAGCTTGCGTTTAACCAAGTTCTACCCAAAGTTCTCGATTGGTAATATTTTCCCTTGACTCTGCTAAGCTATAGACTATTAATTGGGTTATTTTTAAGCCACAGCAAATCTTAGCAACTTTTCTTGCCAATTTTGCGTGGACATGTTTATGCACAGAAGGAGGACTTAAACGAAATGAAAAGGAGGATGATCAGATAATAACTGAAGGTTGAGGAGTCTATAATATTGTCGTAATTTTTTCAATCGAGATGATTCCTCTATCAAAGAGTCGCTGAAAGCAGTACACAAAAGTTTTGCCTTGATCCAAACTTACCTTCCATATCTGCGACACCGGACTATGAAAAAGATTATGAGCGTTCAAAGGTCCAAATCTGGCAAACATCTAGCGCCAAATTCTCAGGAACTAGTTGTTCAAAGACATCTACTGTGTCTCCAGTGAATGTGAGCATCTCTTGGAATCAGTACACTAAAAATCTTGCTAGTATGCACTTCCAAGTTGGATCTCATAGCACACCATGCATCAGAGCTCCAGTAATTTTATAGATTTGAATGATTTAATTATAATCTCCATCTTGCAATTCGGGCTATTATTAACGAGTGCCCGAACAGGCGAGGGATCTCCCATGATTCACAAACTTCAGAATGTGGTCCGATCTGGCAAGGTTGGCCATGTCGGGCAGCAGAGCGGAATCTCGAGAGACTGGCATGCCCGGCATGCCCAAACTTGCCAGATCGGACCAAATTCGCCAATAGACAGGAGCCAATAGACAGCTTGGCTTCGTGTGTCGAAGGCACCAGTGCCGTGTTTGTACGGGCTGTTACCTGTACAGGAATTCCCTTTCTAAATAGGGGATTGATAAATACCGCCCCTAATATCGTTGCCTTCCCCAGTGTACCTTGAGCGGAGCGTTTGCAGACAGGTTGAAAGCGTTGGTGACTCAACAAATCTTGACAATCTCAACACATACAAAACATAGTCCTTTGCTCTAAACTGCCACGTATGTATATATCTTGTCATACGTGGCAGAGTTCTTAGCGAGAGATTACAGAAAGAAACTTCAGTAAAGGGTGTATAAGTTTATCAACGGGTTCAGATGTCTGCGAATGCTCCGCCCAACGTACACCGGGGGAGGGGGGGGGGGGTGACTATAACAAGAATGACTGAAGTGTGCTGTGAAAGGGCGAAAGTGAATAAAAAACTTTTCAACTGATTCAATATTTATGAGCATTTGACATCTTTTAACTAAATTACTCCCTCTGTATTGCAGTACCGAAAATTTTGAAGATGCGGATAGCTTTGGTAAAATCTATGCCACTGAATTCGCTTCACACCTACGACACCTACGTCTGCCTTTTCTTCAATTCACAAAAAATACTGTGAGTAGTAGCAGAAACCATTTGAAGTGAGATGTACATGCCAAGAAACGCTTCCGTGAAAATATTAGGTTGGCTCGCAGATCTGTTAGCACCATTTTTAAAAGTTTATAGCTTGTTATATTCCAAAGCATTTGCTTTTCTAAAATTTTGAACTCGTCTGAAAAAGATAATCATGCGTTTTACAGAAGCATTTGAGGTACTTTTTAACTTGCAAACACAGCAGTGATAGAAAGTTACGAATAGAATCTTTAGGGTTGCCAGAAATGTGAACTAGGGCCGGGACGAAGGTGGCAAATACTCTGTGAATGGATTGCGCCTTTGCCGCTTTGACTTCACGATTCTCCCCTTGATCACATCAACTGCGCAGACTATTTGACTAAAGCGCGTTTTTCTCAAAAGCCAAGACCCATTTGTTCTTTCGAGCTCTAGCAAAGAGGAGAGAAGTTGAAGAGAAAGTTGTTTTAATAATGACTACTTAGTTGTCAGAATTCTTGCATTACATGCAAGAACTTTTGTGTTCCAATCTGCAAGCTCTCAAAGCATTTACCTCAACTCTGCATGAAGCGAAGCTGCATTCCTTGAAGGATCGTAAAGTTCACATGTGAGTGCTTCTGTGCTGGCCAAGAAGCAAAGCAATAGGATTGTAAAAAAAGAGAAATCCATTGTTGACTCAGGAGTTTATAATAAAGTGCACTTCTTTGAATAAAGGCTGTACTAAGATACCAGAAAAGGAAATGTCAACATTTTTGTTTTACCTATTACATAAGCACTGCATAAGCGGTTGCAAAAAAGGGTTATGTTTTCTTGAGTGTAATGACTTATACTGAGAGATACCCCTGTGGCCTCAATAGGAATATCGTGGAAAGCAAGCCCTACAACATTTGAAGCGAAAAATCGAGAGCGTATGACCGACACGAACACAATTTTCTTTTATACTCTTGTAGATAAAGTCCTGTAACAGTCATATGCAAGTACTTCTTTTAATCGCTCATATGTAATTGGCTTTAAAGATTTAGATAAAGAAAATCTCTTGACATATACTGTAACAAAAACTGTTAATTCTCGAACCAATTTCGCAACTTGTGACTAAGTGTGTCGAATGACAATTTTACAATGCTTTCGGAGCTTTTAGATCATTTTGCCATTCGACGTGGAGGTAGTCTTTGTTTAATCATACAACAATCATTAAGTTACCCCAGTTGCATTGCCATCAATTAAATTTTACAATGCTCAAAACCGAATTGCATCTTTGTAAAAATGATGCTCAAGACTTTTTTACCGAAAAGTTAGATGTCAAAAAATCGTATGTTTTCCAAACAAAGTATCGCAAATGCAAATGCTTACTTTGCTCAAATCTTGATGAATGAACGCCCAAAATTTTTTTCCTCCAGAATTTGGGGTTTTTTTTTGATAACATGCTGTGAATTTATGTCTAAACATGTAAATACAAGACCACGCCATAATTATCGTGCATCGATGCTTGTTTTGAACTCACACCAAACACGGCAAAACAAATTGGCTTTTTGCGCTACAAAAGCGAGCAGCAACTTCCTTTAGTTCTCATAGTTTTCATTTCTTTAGGGCCAAGAGATTACATGCGTTTCTGTATGCTTCATGATTCGGAACTCCATTCTGATCATCTTAGTTTGTATATTTGGTTATGGCAAATGTTTCGTTAACGTCTTTCGGCCAGATTTTTAGCCGATTATGATTTCTGAAGTGAATCGATAATTTGATGACAATACATTTTTACAGAGGAGCTAACTAGTGTTCTTCAGTAATGTAAAAAAATAATTATTGGATCATGTGTTCAGTGTCAATGAGAATTATTCACAGCAAGCTCCTTAGCGATTGCTAACAGATTCCATCGAAGATTTGCTTCGACGACGTCTTAATCATTTTTGCTTCCCTACTGTAGAGGGCAAAATATTGTGTACTCGGACCCTTTGTAACCACTTTGAAAGGCAATAATCACATTGATTGATTTTGCACTAATAATCAGCTCTGTAACCTTAAATTCCATATAAAACAGCAAGCGCTGTGCAAACTCATTCAAATGCACAGATGCTTAAGTTCCAAAAAAATTGTAGATAGGCGACGTACATTCTTTGCGTCAACTCCGCGAAATCAGTGCAGTACTTTGTGCCTTTTTTCAATTTTCAAGGACGCAAAAGCTTGTCTCTTCTTTGCTCGTCGTTCCTATTCGTGATACTTGCAAATTATAAAAACCGTCTCTATATTCTCTATATTTCGAATAACAAATTTTTTGATGTTTGTGGTGTACAATAGTTATCATATTTAGCCGAAAATGCTACTGTAGTCGTAGAGCCTTGGCAGCTCACGGCAGTGAGACATGATACGTTAGGATGTGTGAAAATCTTGCTTTCAGTTTAAGATGTTGTAAGTTACAGCAGTGCACTGAGAAGCAATTTTTTGCGAATTATCTGAGCATTATTGCAACTTACCATTTGTAACAACATGATAACTGAATTTCGTACAAAAATTAATTACAGAAATGAGATTTCTGTACTTTTCATTCTATTTGTATAGTGACAGGCACACAGGCTGTCACATGTGATATGAAAGATCCTGCAGAATGTAAGGCAGCATGCATTGTTTCTTGCTTAATCCAGGTACACTTATGCTCACGTTAAAAGTTTGCAATTCAGCGATAACGAATAGTATTGTTTTCGGTGGTGTGGAACGGGACAATGTGAATTGCGTGGAGAGCGCGTATGCTCCAGATGCCGGTGAAGGAGCATTATTACACTTGTATAAGAATGTGGGAATGAAAGTAATGTTTGGGAGCAATATTGGTGAGATACCACATCGGATATAACAACTATTCATGATAGGAAGGCAAGCGATCCTAAGGGCCGCTTACAGCTGTTTAAGGCAAATTCATTTGAATGCAAAAGAATAGTCACTCAAATTGCGAGCTTATAACTAATGAAAGTAGCATACAGATCTGTGCCCATAGATGAAAAGTACTGCCCTACAAGTAGCTTGCAAATCATACCTGAGGGTAAAGTACCCCATGGCGAGTGATATTATGAAAAAAAAGGACTGCCCTGTAGGCCGTTTTTAGAATGTTTACTACAAAAAAAAAGTACTGCCCTAAGAACCGCCTACAAACCGATGTTCAAAAAAGACAACTCTGTGTACTGCTCATAGTTCGGTATCTTGCGTGACTACAAAAAAGCGTTGTTTAAAAAAATCCACTAGCCAGTCACACTTATTGAAGGAAGCACTGCCCTGCGGGCTGCTTACAAACCGGTATTTGTTGCAAAAAATATCAGTCTGTATGCTTCCACAATCGATACTATAGGGAAAGCTGAAGGCCGCTTACATAACCATCATTCTTTATCAGGATATACTTGTTTTGTGTGCCTCTTATAGACCGATGCAGTTGTAAGTTACAGGGTAAAGCGGGGGGTGCGGCACACGACCGTCGGATACGACCCCCCCCCTTGGGCCCCACGACCTCCCTCCCATTCTCTACCCCCCCCCCCCCTTCTTCCACCCCAGTGGCAAAGATTCAATATTCTAGGTGGTTCAAGTTGAATGAACCATAATTAGCTTATTGAAAACGATGTGATGAACGCAATAATGAAGACGTAAAATTATAACATTCGAGAAAGATAGTTGAAAAATTCACAAGAATGAAGCGATGTTCTAGCAACTTACCGTGACATCCCACCACTCGCTCTATATGGGCTTGCTTTCCAAGAGTATCGATATTTTGCGTGTAGTTCCTCAACAACTGATTGTTGATTTCAAGCTGCCGAATAAACTTATGTGATAATGAGGGTTCAAATTGTCCTGGGAATATCTCCTGTAAGATGAAGAGTTATCGTCATAAAATGGAGCTTGATCATGAATGAAATAGCGAATATCAAACATAGATGTTGGATCTGGCAAATCGGGAAAGTCAACATGTAGACGAGCATATATACCTAAAACACCAATGGTAGCAGTGTAGGAAGGTATTTACCATTTTGAAAAAAATCAGGGAGCTTACCATCTTTGCTGCGAAAATCTTGTACCACAAGACACAGATGCACCTGCACCGGTCAACATCAAAATGCGCTTCCGCGTTCTGAAGTAACACAGATCAGTGCAAAGATAAACCAAGCTTAGAAAAGACAAACTGCGAAAGCTTACCTGAAAAGCTCTACAGCATCCTCAAAAGTATTATAAGCTGTGAGTTTCTCTCTTCTAGGCGGACGGTCAACAATTTTAGTGAGAATGGACATGATCTCCAATATAGGCAAAGACTGAGAGATGCAGTGCAAATCGAAAACACTGCACCTAGCTTCAAATTTAACAAAAATGAGAAAAAGAACTTTGAAAAAAAAGGAAAGCAGAGACTAAAGCAGGGTATGAAAATTCTAACCAGGTGATCCGACCATCCTTCGGGTGGCTCTTCAATGCAAGGATACAGCGTTTTGAGAACATCTATGAGGCTTGCTCCTTCGCTCAACATTGACTCCATTTGCAAGAAATCATCGCAAGCATTCTAGAATGATACTGTGATTTGCCAAGATCCAAAAACAAACGATGTCAGAGGAACAAAAACGAAAACCCCTTTTCAAGAAAATTTTTGGTTGCTGTTTGAGACGTAATAGAAGAACAAAGGTAGAGCACTGCGATGGTGAACATAACCGAACATATTGTAGGACTAGATTGAGTAAAACCCGATCAGCAACATCATGAGCATAGAACTTCAAACATAGAAAATCCCTTATAAACTGACTATACTAGCCAACTTACCGGATTACGCCAGCACTCAGAGCCGACGGGAGAAGGCATTTCGACCTTATTCGTTTCAGAATCATGCGGAATATCAAAGCCACATCGACCCGGCTTATCAGAAGAGTTCTGGAAACAAAATGAGAAGAGAGCTAGATGGGATAAACCGACTCCAATGATAAACGTACAAGCAACGACTACGCTAGAAAGAGCAAAAAACCTTACTTTAGCTCCATCTCCAGGAGTCAGTGTTCATAATTCTGATGTCGCATTACAGCAACCATTTTCACTGGTAGCATTGACCATTGAGGGCTAGGGAAGGAATAGCATTTGAAGTAAGAAAAGAAGTAAAGATAAACTGCTACGCATTCTTTATTTAACCATCAACGTGACAATATTTAGAACACAGACGAGACGAGCACAAAAAAGTTAAGAGAAGAGAATGAGAAGAGAGACTACATGAGAAGAGCAGAAGTTTGATCATATGAAAATGAATGCGCATTTCAAACTGTTCTGGCTCCCGCCCTTGGTGTGATGGCAAGTTTTCCATTCCTACCGTACACCAATATTTTCGGAGCCGTGCTTCGGCGAGTAGGGTTCAGATAATCTACTTTATCTTTTCCTAGAGGACGCGTTGGGGGGGGGGAGGGGCAAATGCTAGCGTGAAGAGGGGAAGGATGGCTCAGTAGAATATTATAAATAAGGCTTTTATTTGAGCCTTTTGAAGTTAAATTAATGGGGTGCCTCCCCCCCTTCCCTCCCCTTAAAAGCTGCGGCAGCCGCAGCTTTTGAGGGGGGGGGGGGAGGTGCCGCCCCATTAACTATATCAAAAAGACATTTTTAGTAAGCATTATTTATATAAATTGATAGCCTAAACCTCGCAGATTTCATAGGAGTGATTTGAGCCTGATTCGTCTTCTTAGCTCTGCGTAATATTTAGGGAAAGCACAGCCATTGAAATTTGTAGGTGGGAGTCGGCAATCTTCTGATTCCACAGCACGGAGGTTTCTTGAAGTGGGATTTCTCATGCAAGGAAGGGAGGGGTAGTGCTTTGTATTGAGTGCAAGAAGAAGTAGCTCACTCACCTTTAAAATGAAGTTAATCATGTTTGAAATTACTGTTTCATACAAATTAGTTTACTACTCGGAGACCTCAGAGTTCGCTGAAACTTGGCGCATAGGGGTTATTCGACACGCTGATTACGACATTTATACTTGATTAGAGGTACGGTAGGTTACGGTAGGCATACGGTATCTGCAAGTTTGTGTCATTGAACTTGAATTGCAGGACTTCAATAGCGTCAGAGGTAGTTGGGAAAGAGGGTGGCACATCTAAAAACTTAGCTGCAGTGCTTTTCCCTTAGAAAACCGCTTTTGACCTTGGGTCGATACGACCCCCTCACCTACCCCCCCTTACGACCCCCCGGTGCGGCATGCCGCACCCCCCGCTTTACCGTGGTTGTAACTACCCTAGCAACCCCCTATAAACCGATGTCGAAAAGGTGCTCTACACCCATAGACCGATATTCAGAAAAACTGCTCTATGGGCGCCTGCCTAACGAACCCCTACAAACCAATATTTTGAAGGAAAATGACTTTAAGAACGCCTACAAACCCTTTTTATGCAAAAGACTAAGCACATACCTACCCAACAGCTGAATGTTTCAAGAAGAAACTGTTATGAATTTGCCCTACCATCCACTGCGGATTCTGCCCTATGCACAGCCAATAGATCGAAGCTTTAAGAAATTAGTGCCTTTTGAGCCGTTAAAAATCTATGAGATCTGTCCTACGCGCTGCTTACAAGCCTTAATTGATAGAATATCTTCGTGCTTTTGCCACACACCTTTCACAAAAACCTCATAGTTATCCAGGTAATAATGGTGTTTTCGACTCAAGAAAAATTTGAAAGGGTACAAAGGATTTTATGCGGGGGAGTGACTTCTGTTGGAAAACTCTCTGGGTTCGCCATCACTGCGAATTACATGCACTGTTCCATCCCTTTTCCACCTCCTTTCAAAAAATACGATTATGTTGGCTTTAACATGAAGTACAATTTTTGTTTCTTTCGTAATTTCTGTGACTTTGGTAAATTCTGGAACTCTTTCCTCGACCATCAAATGCCAGTCAAAAATTGAATTCGATTAAAGCCACTAAAAAACTCGTTTGCGAAGGAGGAAAAGGGATGAGCGAGAGCAACCCAAATCATCATTCATTTCAATTCAAAAAATTAGTGCTGGCGAAACGGTCGAAATGGACGTCAAAACGGTCGCACGAGAGCGTCTTTTGATGAAGTTCAATATCAGTTGAGTGAATCATTTCAAGTTATAATGAATGCAATACAACAGATGCCGAGAAGAACAAATTTCATAGAAAACTGAGGCTGACATGCAGTAAAGCCGAAGTAGGAACCAGCCGGTAACCCATAATAAGAATTTAGTCATATCCAGCGAGTTCAAATTTGCGAAAGAGAGAGAGGGGAGGGGAACTGTTATCAGCCCAACGAGAGTGTCAGCACCTTTAAAGTTATAACCTTTTTGCACTTAATAACTGTCCCTTTTCAAAACACTCCTTGAGAAGAAACGATGCTTACTTCTGTGAAATACGCTTCTCCAACATGTAAGTGTTGAAAAACCTTTCCATTTATTATTACAGAATAATTCTACTTCATGTATAGTAGTAAAAGTCAATTTAAGTGCTGATCTTCGCACTGTAATGTAAAGACAGTCTGCTCGAACTTTGTCGAAATTTGTAGGGTGATAGTTGCTGGCAGGTCAGCGCAGAAAATGGCGTGCTCTCTTGGAAAGAGAAAGTGCCAGCGTCGCAACATGCTTCATCATGCTGAGATAGCAACGGCATCCATGAGTTTGGTACTTGCGGCAGTATCACATAACTTACGTTTCAGCCAAGGATTCGAAAATTTTACTTTTTTTTCAACTAAATTGAAAAATGTGAAAGTTTAGCGGTAAATCAATAAAGACAACCAAGAAGTTCACTGCAATGTTTTGTTCCTAATTTAACACTATCCGATTTCGGGGCTAAGAACTATACCGGTAGTGCAGCTTCCTTGGCGCCCCTCATCAGTAAAGGAAGCCTCAAAAATCTAACTAAAAAAAGAGACACCTACAGAATTTGAATGAAAGAGAGGACTAGAGAGCATAAGCATGCAGAAGGATTGCGAATAAAAAACAATGTTCTTCAAAATCTTGTATTCTTAAATAAAACATCGTCAAATGTGCACTCGCTTTCTTAAAAAACACTTGAAAAATCGGCGAGATCAAGAAAGGCGGAGTGAACAGCGCCGCTCTGGGGCAGAGTTAGCGCCAGAACGGAGTTTTATAGATGGGCACACAATCCAGGCTCTTAGGATAAGCACAAGCAGTAGTCGAGGGGATTTAGGCCCGGCGAGTACGTAAGCCATTCTGCAGGAGTAATAAAGCTCTCGACGTTACTTTCGAGCTGTTGTAAAGCCATCCCCTACAGTGGAACTTGCTCGCTTATTGTAGGCTAAGTGGATGTGGACTCTGTAGTTGCGGCGTGCCCGCCGCACCGATATATTTGCGTGTTGTCATGGAATTATTCCTAGTGAATCCCCGGCATGTACGCCGATAGGCAGAGGGGAAACTCTTGTGTTTTTCTGATAAATGATCACCGACTCAACGCGTTCCACTACGACTGGCGATCGGAGTCAAGGACAAGAAGCCTCCACCGACCAAGGACCAAAAGAAGCTCCACCGAGCAAGGAACAGAATCCTCCATTGATGGACAAGGAAAGTGCTGCAGCTCGAATCGAGGAGAAGCTGTCACTAATCGAGAACAGCCTGACAAGTAAGATTTGCCGAAAAGCTTGTTGATTTAGCAGAAGCTTCGTCGACAGCGGAGAGGTCTACCATGCCGAAAGCCAGTGAAGAGCGCCATGGCCACTTTCTGGAGAAGGTCCTGTCAGTCATGGTCGACCAGATGCTGCTCCAACAAGAGGAGATAAGCTGCATATGCAGCTTCAACCGAAACAAATGCAAGCTCGACTACAAGCCCAGCAGGAACATGCGCAGATGCAGCTGCAAGCTCAGCAAGAGCAAATGAGGACGCTGATTTCCACTCTGGTCAGGGAGCCGTCCAAGACACCAGCAAGGATCAGTACAATCAGCTGAGTAAGGATGTGCAAAGGTTCGTTTCAGACAAAGGTACAGGTAACACCTTTGCTTACTGGTACGGCAGGTACGGACTATCCGCGACTCTTAGCTGCCGGATCACAAGAAGCGCGATTTGATCCTTACGAAGCTGGATGAAGAAGCATACCGGAAGTATGCAGACGTTCTGCCTGTGAAACCAAACGACATGGACTTCGACCCCCACCGTCGCAAATCTCCAGAAGCTGTTCGCCTCCAAGAAGACGCTCATTGGAAGAAGGTATGAATGCCTAAGGATAATTCGCCCTCCTTTTATGCCGGCGTACGTACCGTTTCGCGAGTACGCCAACACCATCAAGCGGTTGGACGAGGATGCCTGGCTGAAGGAGCTCGATTACACGACGATGAAGACGCTGCAGTTTGTAGCAGGTTTTCAAGATCCCTCACTTAGGGAAGTACGCCTTCGGATAATTCGTTCGACTAAATGCTCACACGGACGAAGCACAGTTGACAATCGAAGACCTAGTCGCAGACAGCGAAAATTTCACTGCCTTGAAAATGGATAATACAGACATGGAAGGAACGCGCGAAATCCATGCTGTATGGAAGAAAAATGTAAATTGCTTCATCTGCGGAGGACCACATTTTAAAAGAGACTGTCCACAATCCAACAAACTAGTCGGAGGAAGCGGCAGAAGACAGGAGCCCACTTGGGCCGCAAACGACAGTGCAAAAATTTGGTCGCTTTCAACACCGAGAAGGCGCAGACTTATATCGACGTCGTAATTAGTAGATGTTCCTTCAAACTACAGCTACACACAGGTGCGGATATAACCTTGATCTCGCGTAGAGCCTGGAAAAGAATGGGATCGCCTGCTTTGGACCCTGCGTGATGCCTGTGAAGACTGCAGAGGGGACCCCGATGCAGATGTAAATTTTCGACCGATTTTGAGGTCAAAGATTGAGTTACAGGGAAGACCGTTCATGGAAACGGAATTTGCTACGTCACCAAAGGCTCGAATCTATTGGGATTGGAATGGTGTATCCAATTGCCGGCGTACAAGAAGCTATGACTACAACTGCAGAAAGGTGACTATCGAGGAGAAATTCCGAGCCGATGTGGTCGCCGATTTGAAGAGGAAATATGCGGAAGTCTTCAACAGCGACTTGGAAAAATGCACAAAGAGTAAAGCTGAATTGGTCTTAAGCGATGCTGTGTCAGTGTTCAAGAAGAAGAGGCCAGTTCCATACGCCAATGCAAGATATTCTTTTGTGCAAAGCGAGCTCTACGGGTGCCTTCATACCGCGCCGGCAGCCGCCGCCAGCAGCCCTTAGCAGCCCGTAGTCGCCGCTGGCCGCTTTTTTCGTAGAAGCGTAAAATCATCAAGTTCTTACTACTTTGAGTGCACTTGTCCACGCTTTCCATCTTCCAGCTTTTTTCTTCCTATTGCCACTAATGTGCAATTCGACTCTCACACATTACAGAGATATCTAAGATAAGCACCGATAGCCGAGGAAACGAATGAAAACCATATTCAAAAAATAAACATATAGCACACGTGCAGAAACTGGACGCATCCAAAGTCAGAAGAAATCACATTGGAAAGAACTTTGGCGAACTACGGTTCAACTGCGAGAGGGAATTTGAGTAGGATAAACCAATTTACAGCACCAAGATAACAACAACAACGGACAGAGTATGATATACGAGATCGACTTGCATACCGGCGGCAACAGGAAGAAAAAAGCGAGGAAATGAAAAGCTTAAGCGGTTGCACTCAAAGTAGTGAGAATATGATGATTTTCCGCTTTTGTAACAAAAGCGGCCAGCGGCGGCTACTGGCTGCTAGCGGCGGCTACCGGCTGCTACGGACTGCTAGCGGCAAATGCGGCGAGGTTTGAAAGCACCCTACAATGTGGACACTAAGGCCAGTAGTGGTCTACCCGAAGTGGCAACAGATCTCGCCGGCAGGCCACTGGCAGCTTCACGTGAAGTAAGCAAAAACTAAGCTTCATCATTTAGGCCATCCAAAGCCTTTTTACCAGATAATTTCTGGATGAAGATGACGCGGCGACTTTGAGGATATCTACACTGAAACTTGAGATTTCACAAATCTCCATAGAGAAATAGTTGAGAAGAGCAGTGGTGCTGCTGGCAACTTTGCAAACTCATCTGTCGGCAACCTGCCGGCAGGTCGGAGAGACGAGAATTAGTGTGCTTTTTTGTGAGAGAAAGGTGCCAGCTCATCGACGTACCCCTACCACGTCGAGAGGCTGGCACCTTGCTGGCGGCATCTGTGAATTTGCGTGGTGCGGCATTATCATACAACTTACATCTCAGCAATCAGTGAATCACCTACTCTAAAGTTTGTTTTCTGTTACATAGGTCAAAATTGTTAATACATATTCAGGTCTTTTCTTAGGTTTTTTCTTGTCTGTACGCAAATAAATTTATCATAATTGTTGGTCTCGGTCTACACCGCGTTAGTTTTGTGTCTTTTCCAAGATCTTGATCTTTGACAATTTCTTTTGTGTTGTGCATGTCGATCAGCTGTTATGGCAAAGTCCAAAGTCTATCTATCATACACAGCATTGATCACCAGACACCAATTTTTTGCCTTTTCTACAATTTTTGCAACTGCACATCATGACCTGGTCGAATGGTTAGCGCATCCGCGCTAGAGGAAGTTGAATGCAAGTTTAAGGGTTGTTTCATAGTGCAGTCGCTGCTGCAACGACCGTCGATCAATCGATATTTTTGCCGTCGATCGCCTCAACATGACTGCAACTGCTGCAGCGACTGCAGTAAACAACTCTAAGCGCATTCGATGCAAACGTTTTGTGTCGGTATGCCTGTGGTCAGTCTTCGAGCTCACGCCGCAGTTGACATCTATTGGGAATCTGTGCCAACTAGCCTGCATCTATGATGCCGTTAGGTGGGGTAGATTGCTACCGGCCCAAATTACGTTCAAATTATGACAACGCAATGTTCAAGTCTCAGTTCAAGAGGATAAAGCGTGAAGCGTCTGCCGTCTCCAGTATTTTTGCGGGCATGCGCCGAACACATTTCATGATCGAAGAAGCTAATGAATCTTTGTCCATTTCTACAGTGACTTGCGGTGATCAGGTCACCACATGTCTTAATCTTTTCAACTTACTCTAGTGTCAAGTCGCTTTGAGGGGAAAGAACGTAGTATTAGGCGCTGTCATTCCAATCATTCACAGGCGGTCAACGTCGCCTCTTATCAACATGCCTAGCAGTTCTTCGATATCAAACTTGCTTATACTTACCCTCGAGTAAATGTATATGCTATGTTGCGGAATGGGACCGACACGTAAAAGTGAACATAAAACATATTAGGTTGGAAACTAAGTCTGCAACTCACTCAATAACTTTCCTCTCATTCAACATGGCACACTCAAATTTTGCCATCTCAGATAATCGCCGGGGGCAGGCTGTCCGCAAACTCGCGGGCGTGGCCAAACCTTCAGCGGGCGGCACTTCCTTTACAGTCGCATATCCTGCCAACGGGCAGCAATGCAGCATTTTTTGCAAGCCCTCGGCAAATAATTTCTTTCAGCGAGCGCTGGCCAAACTTTCAGCAAGCGCTCGGATCCTTTTCACGCAGTTTCGGGAGCACGCCGGGAAAAGGTGAGACTCTATGTGGCCGAGGTGTCTTCGATGGTTGAATTACCCAAGTTTGGGTGCGGTGCAGTGCAGCCCTCAACAACTGCTCAGACAATCGCCGGGGGCAGGCGGGCGCCGGAAAACACGCGTTGCCGAAATTTTGCGTTCCGCTCGCAAATTCCAGGAAAATGGTGTGCAAGTTTTTGAGAGACCGCCTGCTGAATTTTTTTCCGCTCTTATCTTTTGCAGATATATTGCTGAATCTCTGAAGAATCGCGAACTCAGCAAGCGGCCTAGCGAAAAGTCCTGATTGCTTTCTAAAAAATCCGCGAGCGGGGTGCGAGAAATCAGCCATCTATTTTTCCGGTGCTCGCCTGCCCCCGGCGATTGTCTGAGTGTGCATATTCCAGCGGAAAGTCCGCGCGCATGCGGCCACTGGGCCGCAACTTATCCATAGAAAGACCGCGATAGTTCTCCGAGCGTTCGTCCAAAAATTGGCCAAAATTATTATTAAATTATTTTCTGCAAGCGGACCGCAAGAATTCAGCGAACTATTTTCCGGTGCCCGCTTGCCCAAAATTCGCATGGCCGCCTGCCCGCAGCGATTATCTGAGATTGTGGTGGCTATGACGTAAGCTACAAATGCAGCTGCTGTTCTACTAAGTTCTGACGTCGCAGTGAGGGTCACGGTAGGCATATGGTATAAAGGGAAAAATTATAAAATTCGACAGATTTGGCTGAAACTTGGCATAGGGGGGGGGGGTTATCCGACATGCTGTTCACGAAAACGGTAAAGGTTTCGTGATAAAGGCTTTTTTGTAAGATTATTGTAAGTGTACGATATAAGATCCCATCCTAAACAAGGAAAGAGGCGTTGATTCAACAAATGGATTTGATATCCGTATTTATCAGGTTAAAGAACCTCAATACGTAAAGACTCGGGAAATTTTGTGGTTCTGACACCTTAGTCATTAACGGTTGTCCCCAGCAGCCTTGCGTACAGCAATAAAATTGTGAGGGCGCCGAATCTCGACTTGATCCTAAATCTTATTTCTTTTTTGGTGAACCAAATAGTCAACCTTTAGCAACAATTATACACGTTCCCGTTATTGCGCATGGTCTAGGCTGCTAACAACTTCATTTTACTTTAAAACCCCAAAAATTTTCAAAATTGACTAATTTTCGAAATGCCTGAAATTTCTCTAATTCGTTTTCAAAATTCAAGCAGCTTCGGTCAGTTGTAGCTCACACTACGCTCTATATCCTGCCCAAGTTTGAGTGCGCTACATCCAAAGAAAGTTGAGTTACGAAAGTAGTTGCAAAACTTAGTTTCCAGCCTAATATAATAGCTGAGAGAAAAGGTGATGTGGGTTATGCAATCTAGTGTATAAAACTAAAATCAATCATCCTTGAAATGAAATCAGCATTTCCATACCCTATCATCTCAAATACCCTTTTAACTTTTTTGTAATTGGTGATGATTTTAGTGATCTTGGTCTTGACGAGTATCTAACAGTGCCAAAACAAAGAAGTGGAACTACTTCCTGAAGTCAGCATTTTACCTTCTTCTGAGGCAAAAGTTAATGGGAGCACTCTTTCCAAAAAGGTTGTCTAACATTATGTTTTATCTCTTATAAGTTGGAGAATTATTCTCGTCTTGCAGACTGCTACTGCTTCGGATGCTTCTAGTACAGACAAATCTATTTTTGAAGTGATTGAAATTCCACTTGGAAGTTTCAAACCTTCTAGCATTGAGGTGTTTGTTTAAAAAAGACAGATCATTCTTCAAAATATAATTATAATGTTCAGATCTTGCCATTCACGCGGAAAGGACTTCTTAAAAAATGGCTCGAGCCCAGGCGCCTTTTTATTTCTAGTCTCGAAATCCCTCATCCAAAATTTGTAATATTTTTCGAGGAAGATAAGAGCCAAAATATATTGAGGTAGGATTTGGCGTAGTCTTCAGCATATTGTTTGTAATGATTGTTCTTTGTGCACAATTAATCTCAGGGTCAGAGTTAGTACAGACTCGTCCTATACAAAATCAGCTAGCAGAACCCGCTTAATGGACATCGTGAAAACGAAAAAAGAAAGTGACCTTTCCGCACTGTTTAATGACCTGTATGACTTCATCAATGATACAACAACAGAGTAAATCTTATTTTTATTCAATTGCTCCAGACATGCCATAGTAGTCATTTTATAGTTGGATAAAAGATTACTGCAATAGCTACGATTGGGACTGCCGGATAAAGAACTATCCTGAAGGATTTCGATGTCGCGTCAACAGCAGATTGATAGCACCCATGGTAAGCTTTATATTTTCGGTTTTTTACAAATGAGTCTTGCACCAGAAAATATGAAGATTTAGTTCTGAAGCTTTGGTGCCCCTCCCCCTCAAATTTGGGTTGCAAAGTTTGTGAAAGTTACTTACATGAGTTATGAAAACGAGCTTACCTCTTTATACTCGCACTTCAATGGAATGATTTTTATGAATTTTCGAAAATTCAAATTGACTTGCAAACAATTTTCTTTGGGTGGGGGGGGGGGGAATTTATGGAGCAAGTGAATAAGGCTACGCGCCTGCACAAAATTTTCTGCCATCCCTTCTCCCCGAACGGAAATCCTGGGACACCCACTCTCTTAAAATGTTTAAAAGAAGTATCGAATACAACAGATCATTAGTGGTTAAAAAAAATAAAAGATATTTTGACGGCAAATCCGATAAAATCTTTAAAAGTCATAATGCTCGCGAAGACATTCAATCATTGGGATTTTTTATCGGAAAGGGTTTAATTGTAAATTCGGGGAAAAAAATACCTTCAGGTTTGATGGGGCTGCTCAGTTTTTTCAGGACCAATTTTTGAAAAAGTACAAATTACTCTTTTTGACAGCATTTACCTCTCTATGAAGACAATAAATTTTGCTCCTCTCAACTCATTAGCAAAAATATGTTTTCTTTCTTTGAAATACATTAAAGGAAAGGAATCCAATCTAGTATTTTTGAAAATCTCATTATATCATCTTGAGGCTGCGAGTAGCTTTGAGTTCGAGCAAATGAGTCAACTCAAACAACTATATGAGCAAGCAAGCCCTAACGTGGAAAATCCTGGATTTTGTTCTAACTCGGTAAGTGTATATGTCTTAACATCAACTGTAATAGAAAAGGAGCGAATCTTTCAGGAGTTTACCGCAAAATGTTGTTTTTGTCGAAAGAAAGGCAAAAGTGATTGTTTTTGGCTATCGACGGGAATGGTTTGTCGCGAATGTGCATCTATCTCGATCATTGATCAGTTGGAGCGTAAAAAGTTCCCCATTGATATTCCGGTACAGTTATTCATAAAAAATGACATGATTATCTTAAGCTTTCAGAGAATTTCTCCTTTTTCTGCTCTTCATTTCGAATTTCTATACTCAGTTTTGCCCATACCCACGGTAGCTTCGTTATTGAAAGTGAGCTGATTTTTCGTGCATTTTCTTATAGAAACTATAAGATCAATCTTGGAAATATAGCTGCTCAATGCAGTTATTCTTGATGTCATTGTATCTATACCCTATCGCCTTTACTCAAAATTTAGCATAAAAATAATTTTTTTTTTGGAATTCTTTTCACTGCCATCCGTTTCTGATGCTTGCGCGCATCACTTTATCTCTCAATCGAAACTATTAGGTTGTCCCAAAAGCAAACAGTTTTTCCATATAAATCAAATTGTCATTGCTTTCCTAATAAACTTGGTATACCATTCGAAAGAGTAAAGCGAGCTCTACAATTTAACCAACAGAGGTCCGCCTAACTCATAACTCCGCCTAACTCATAACTCACAACTCAGTCACATTTCGAGCCAAAGATCAAAATTTTTCAACGCCTTGAAAATTGGATTTGCTTCCAGAAAGTTTCCACGAGCCTCCAATTGGTCATTATACAGTAGACACACGGTTGCACCCAAGAAATGCTTTTGATGGATTTTTCAAGGGCTCAAAATAAGAAATTAAAATACTCCGAAATGCAAGAATGTCAATTTTTTAGGTTTTTTACGTTGAAATTGGTATTTCTCGGTCCAGCGCACATACAGAAATATTTGAGGTTATACTTACTGAGGCTTGTGGTATACAATCACAATCAATATAGAAGGAGCTAGGGGCAGGGTCTGCCATTTTCGGACTTTCTTTTTTTCTCACTTTCTAAGCGCGAAAAAAATTCAGCAAATGCATTTACGGATAACTGTGTATCGTCTGTATAGGATTGTATAAGAGCCTCGCAGGAATCTTATTCGCAAAAATACAATTTTCAGGTGTAAAAATTTTCTTCCATCTTAGGAAAACCTGGATTATGATTTAGGCTTTTCTTTGATAATCTTCTCATAGAACTTGTTTTGCACTATCGAATGGTACCCAAATCTGCTAGAAAAAACAAAAACAGTTTGATTTACTCAGAAAAACCGCCACTTTAGGCATAACCTAATATCATGCACGCTTTTAGGCTATGATAAATGTACGAAAAAATCTAGATGGGCGAAGATGTTAATAGTTTTTGGTTTTGAATAGTTTTTCAAAATTCGTAAATCAGCGCTTTCCATTCCAAACCTGCAGGTTATTAGTTTTTTTCGAATTTTTCAGGAATCGTTGGCTTTTCAAGCTAAACCCAGATTTGAAATGCGATTCGTCACATGTCCTAAGTGCGCAATGCCATATGACTGTCCGATGCCACTCGCCACTACTGAAGACTGTGGTTTGACTCGTTTGAGCTCACCCTGTTCTAAAATTTCTTTTTTTTTCAGTTTTCAACAGCTGCTCATGCACAAAGTGTTTTACTGCGTTCTGTTATCTTTGTGAATGGGAGCCGCACTGGCCTATGAGTTGCGAGCAATTCAAGAAATGGACTTCGCGATGGGATACGCAATGTGGGGGTGTTAGATCATGCGAACCAAGACTTCTTTCTTTGTGACAATGGTGAATGTTTAGATTTCTATGAGGATCACCATATAGATGGCGAACAATTGCGATTATGCTGCGCTTGCGAGGAGTTCTACAGTGTAGGCACCACTAGATATTTACCTGAATTTTATCTGCAATTGTTGCATTTTAGGTGCCAAATGGGGCAGAAGATAAAAGCTGTCCTAGACTTGTCTGTAATTTGTACTACAGACCGCCATTTGTACAATCGCACGATCATAGTCATGATTCCAAATTCAACTGGAATGATATGGCCATAAAGTTGCGCAGACATCTCACTGCTTTGGAAATAAATGTCAAGAATTGTAAAATATGCGTGAGTTTTTCTTTGCTACGATTTTTCTACACATAGTAAGACTATTTTGAATCTTTTAGGGTCATGAAATCCTGCCAGAATCAGTTGAACTCAGGCCTATTATGAATAGTAAGACCGCTGAGGCAAGCAAACGTTAGGCATTTTCTTTTTGAACTAAAAAGTTTCTTTTCTATAGTTATGCGCATACGCAAGGAGACAAAGATTTTTGCAAAATAGTGATTTTGAAAAATATGTCATGGCTACATTCAACGTGGAAAAGAAGGAAAAGTTTAAGAATCTGAGAAAAACGGTAATTCTTATATTGCAAATTTACTTTAGCAAAAATAAACGACTATCTAGGTACTCTATTTAATCGAGTTTTGCACTGGCTGGTTATATGTAGCCAAACCCTTTGACTGGAAACATTTGAGTTTGCAAATATCAAATCTCAATAGTAGCCTTCAACTCCTCGAGCAGCAGATTCCTTCAGCAAGGCAACTGCTGCATACGCAAGTTTTCATTAAAAAAATAAAAATTTTAGGGACGATTTCATGAAGCATATGGGTGAACTTGAGGAGGAGACCAAGAACCTCATCGAAATTGTTCGAAAGAGTTTACGCCAATCATAGAATATGCAGAAAATTTACCTGTAGAACAGAATTAATAAAAACACTTTTAATTTGCTGTGATGAGAAATTGTGGTAACTGAAAATACCATAGTATCATCTAGTGAAAAAATTCTGTGCTGTGATTTTAAGGTTTGCAAACAAGAGATGTTATATTGCTTCAGACCTCGACAAAGTAACCAACTCCGTACTCTTGGCCAACGTGATGGGGCTATCGCTCCATTTTTAGTGAAGTTGAAGAAGTGAACAAGAAGTTCTTTGGTCAAATCTAGCCTTGAAGCATAAAGTCCACTCAAAAATTGGTACTAGAGAAGAACTAAAACCTGAAAACTAAGTTTATTCGTTCATTTATTTTTCACAATACACTCGAGGTGTGCCGTCAACAAACATAACCAAACACAGATGACATTAAAGTCAAGCGAACATTGAACTAAAACAAACAGCCAGCTAATCACCACGGAGGCACTAGTCTGCCTATAATGATGTAGGGTTTACTTGTTTTTATCGACGTTTTTAAGCACAGTTTAGTACATCTAAACAAGGAGATCTTGCTGTTTTTTCAGATTTAGATTCCCTTTCATTCGCAACTGCGAGCCTAGGCGGAGGTTACCTGACTATAACCCAGAGAAAATTACTAGAATTCCTGAAAAGACAACACGATACACAAAAAAAGCTTGTGGAAGATATGCAGAAGCATATCTAGTGCAGGTAACTGGAAGACTGTCCAAATCAAAACAATGCTTGAATGCCAAAGGAATGCGGACTGCATCTGGAATCAATTCTTGAAATCAATCTCTCACCGAGAGGCTGGTCCCAAGCTAACATTATACAAGAAATCAAAATATTATCTACAGGATGATAATGTCTATATGTAAAAATGCTATTGTGGTAAGTGTGGTGGTCGGAATAACATTTGTTGTAACGATAGCGGGGCAATTCCTTAACCACTGCCTTGTGGAAAATTTGCAAATACATCATCTGTCAGCTGTGGACCGCTTTTCTAAAATTTCGGAGATGAAGGGTTTTATTGTAGCAGGCTCACAGCTTCACAAAATCTCAAATAACCTGCAAAGTATTTGTGGATACCGAAAACCAAGTAATTATGTATGAGTTGCTGACAACTTTTTCAAATGCACTATATGCTAAAAGCATCATCATCGTAACTTTCTAGTGAGAACATAAATCTAGGGTTTTCTTCAATAATCTGCGTGTAACTTCCTTTGCGTATTAGGTGTTGTATGCCAGATTTATCGCATAAGTTTGAAAGATGGGCATAGTTTAGGTTTATTGATCGAAATCTTGTACGAATTGTGTTCGCAGAAACACTTTTTTGGCACAGTGACCACGCAGAAAGACCAAAAACAAAGAAAAATGCTAATAGCGACAATTTTTAAGCTCTTGTGATTTTTCTAATTTTGACACAGAAAATGTGCACAATGTTTTTGTTAATAACTCTCTGCCTTAATGTTTTTTGCCGATCTTTTGGCATTTCTGTAGAGCAAGCACCAACTTACATTTATGTATGGAGCAAATTTCCGATCTCTCGTCGTTACTGTAGATTTACGTTAGGAACTTTCAGCATATAGAACCCTTGTGAAGCAGACCATCTGGCAATTATTTTTTTCAAATCTGCAAAATTGTATGCCAAAGTTCACGCATGCTTATTTCAACACAAATTTTTGCGAATGTTTACAGCCTTTTTGACTGTGTAATCACATTTCTGACAGACCTAGAAAAGAAGCACCACATGGCTACGCCCAGATCCTCCTATCAAGCTCCGCTCTCCCAAGTACTGAAAGTCGTCTGTGCCTTCAAGATAGGACTCCCAGATATCGGATTTTTTGCTAAGGAAATTCACTAGATGAGTGAATGAAAACACAAAGCACCCTATATACAATGACATGCGCTAAAGCCAAGTTGGAAATCTGTATTCATAAGTTCCTCTTATGTGTAATCAAATGCAGTGAGCTATTGGATTTTGCGGTTTCCCCAAAGTTCTGTATAGCTGACAAGGAGAGGATACTTAGTCGAAAGCACCAATCCAGATGAGACATATGTCATCTTAAAGCGCTTGAAACGCTGATTCCAAATCTGCAGTTTCTAGCTGCGGAGCGGTTTTGTAGGAGGAGTTATGAAGGGTGTCCCCCTCTGGGGTTTAAGCGCCCTGCGGCTGTCTCCCCGCATCTCTAAGCACTGTAGAGGAGTATCAGCTGTGGCAACTGACCTAATGGTAAGTAACTTGAATGAAGATTACAGTAAAGACTGTAATACTCATATTACTTTGGTTTTTTCGACACTTCTAACTTCGATTAGTATTAAAATCATTAAAAGTTTCATGCTTTAGGGCTTTAAAGCCATTTAAAAGTTCAATTTAG